CTAATATTACTCCACACATCGACCGCTATCCAGCATGCATCGAGTGTATTAAGTTCATGGAAAAACGGAGTAATGCAATAAGAACGATGACATGATGTAGACAAGATCTATTCATGTAGGAATAGACCCCATCTTTTTATCCTTAGTGGAAACGATACATGCGTGTCATGTCTCCTTCTGTCATTGAGATTGAGCGCCGCAAGATCGAACCCATCACAAAGCACCACTTCCCATTGCAAGAAAAATCAATCTAGTTGGCCAAACCAAACCAAAGTTTTCGAGAAGAAATACAAGGCTATAAATATCATGCATAAAAGAGTTCAAAAAATACCCAAATAATATTCATGGATAGATCTGATCATAAACTCACAATTCATCGGATCCCAACAAACACACCGCAAAAAGTCATTACATCAAATAGATCTCAAAGAACATCGAGGAGAACATTATATTGAAGATCAAAAAGTGAGAAGAAGCCATCTAGATACTGCCCACGAACCTGTAGGTCTGTGGTAAACTACTCACACATCATTGGAGGGGCGAGGGTGATGATGAAGAACCCCTCCGTGATCGTTGACCCCTCTGGCAGAGTGCCGGAAAAGGCCTCTAGATTGGATCTCATGGTTCTGGAACTTGCGACGGCTGGAATTCTATTTCGATGACTCCCCTAGGGTTTCTGAAATATTTGAGTAATTATAGAGCTGAGAGGTGGGGGAGGGTGCCTGTGGGCCCCACTACCCACCAAGGCGTGCCCTGGTGCCTAGTAGGCCCCACAGGGCCCCTCTGGTGCACATCTTGGGCCTCCTAGGTGTCTTCTGGGCAGAAAAAAGTCTCCAAAAAGTTCCGCTGCATTTGGACTCCATTTGATATTCATTTTATGTGAAGTAAAAACAAACAAAAAAAAACAACAACTGGCATTGGGCACTATGTCAATAGGTTAGTCCCAAAAAATGATATAAAGTTGCTAGTAAATGAGTATAAAACATCCAAGAATGATACTTTAATAGCATGGAACAATAAAAATATATAAATACGTCAGAGACATATCAAGTAGGTCATGGGAGTAAACCCCACGGCCAAGTCGTGATCCAAAAAAAATCAGAAACAGTAATTAAAAAAAATATAGACAATGTGCATAGCTTTGTCCTCAGCTCGGCTCATTCCCGAAACCCGGCCCGCCGAGCCGACGAGTGAGGAGGAGGAGCGCAGGTGTAAGTCTACTCTTCTCATGCTCATACAAGTGGTGGAAGAGCTCACCTTATAAAGAGGTGCAACTCTCACTCAACTTCTGGGATGGGACTAAATTTTAGTCCAACTCACACCACTCACAACCATGCATGAATGGGTCATGAGAATTTCAGATTTTTAGTTGGGCTTTGGGCCAAATGCCTACTAACAAATTCCAACAGACATTTCTTGATGAGTGGTTCCATCATACACCAAGCTTGATCCTTAATAAATGGGAAAAAACCCCTGTGCACCACCTGTGAATTCTAGAAATTGAGAAGGATTTCATTTAGTATGTACTTTGAGTTTTGAGAGTCTATTATTGACATGGATTTCCCTTCTGCTAGAGAGACACATTAGAACAACGACAAGTTAACAAACAAGGAGGCTGTCGAGTTGTACTGTGACTATTGATAGATCTATTTTTGCACTTTTGCATTTTTTTAGAGTGAATCTCGAAGGTATAAATTTTGCAAAGTGCTAACGCCCACCTACAGATGACAAGATTTTCTTCTTCTAAGGCCCCGTTCGGAAGCTTTCTAGCTCCGTGCTCCACCGGCAACGCGCGAGGAGTTGGCTTAATGCCTCGGCTCCGCAAAGCCAGCTTCAGAAGCGGAGGCCTCGCGTAGTGTAAAAACCAGAAGCTGGGTATTCGAGCTCCCAGATTCTAGCGGAGGTGGAGTTGGGATAAATTACTCGTGTTGCCACCGCCAAGTGAATCAGCGTACCGGTTCATGCTCAGAGACCAATTGGACCAGTCTCTCTCTCCTCAAACCGGGCCAGCTAGGTAGGCCTGACCACAGCAAGCCGCAGCTCCTCTCCCGTGCTGCCTCGAACGCTCCTGCCAGCCATGGAGAAGCCGGCTAGCGCCGCTCCCTCGAGAAGCTGGCTAGCTTCGGAAGCCAGAGAGCTTCCGAACAGGGTCTAAATGTAATGAGGCATGAGCCATAAACTCTTCATAGAGCTTTGGAGCAAAATATTGATCCCCTGCGTGCATATTACCCTTTGCCCATTTAGAAGTGACAAATCACCCCCCACCCCCCACACGCACATAACAATAATATCATTCATTATTTAACTGCATTGTAATTTGGGTCATACAAACTGATACTTGTACCTTACCGAAGATGATCAACCCACAATATGTGTTGACAAGTTAGTACTTGTCATCGACGCTGCCAAGTTGAAGTCCTCCTTGTTCCACAAGCTGGTACCCGTGAATACAACTCTTAGTCTCGCCTCTTGTGAGGACGGGATGGGGATAAGCGGTGACACCAACACAGTGAGGCGCCGTGTTGACGTAGAGGCTATAGACATATGAGGGCATGTACAATGGTTGATAAGATAGTCTTATCTTAAGTCTTGCATGTAATTTAGAGATGACAAAAAAAGTATGTTTACAATGGGTTATATCTTAGCCTTATCTTCAATAACTAGTAATTCCTTAAAACATGGTGAGACAAATTGTGCTAAGAGATCATCTCTTGTCTTATCTTATCTTAAATAAGAGAAGACAAGTCTTTTCTTATGAGTTCTTTCTTCTCCACCTCATTATTTATCCTACGTGGCACTCCTAAGATAGCACCATTGCACATGCTCTCAGAGTCTTGTATCATGTTTAGGGACATGTGTTTTTTCCTATTGCATCGCACGGATATTTTTGCTACTTAATTACAAATGATTTTGTGCAAGCGACTAAATGACGGTTGGGCCAGTTGAAATCGGTCTGACCGTTTTTTGGTTTTGGGCTGGCTGGTTGGGCCAGGAGAAATCGGTCGTTCTGAAGAGCTCCCAGACCGAGATATTATGGTACATTTTAATTATAAATGATTTTGTGCAAGCGACTAAATCACGGTTGAAAATTCTCGCAAACGGTCGAGCAAATGTTTCTCGAAACCCCAGGACGGGAAAGTTAAGTTCAAAAAAAAAGGACGGGAAAGTTGCACCGACGTGAACGGTCAGCCAGCTAGATCGGACGACCGGTCGTCCCTTCCCTGGGCGTACGTACGATCGACGACGGTAGCGACAACGACGATATCACTGTCGCCGACGTCCACGACGGTGACAAATGTACACACACATCGTGAAGCAGCCGGCATCAACATACCGATCGATTCAACTAAAAAAACAGAAAAGCATAGCGATCCTTTTTTTTTTTTGCGGGTAAGAAAACATAGCGATCGATCGATTTACGTGTGTGACCAGCAGTGAGCAGGCCTTGTTACGATGGTCGACGTACTACCCCCGCGAGCCGGTCTAGCAAATCGTTGGCTGTCTGACCGTTGACCGCGGCGTGGGCCCAGCGTATGCATGCCATGCAGCCCCCTGATGGGGCGCCCTTTCCGGAGGACGTGGCACTTGTGCTGAGTTTCGCGGCCTCCGGCCTCTGTGGATGAGATCATTTGAGCACGTGCCGCCTTCCGTTGTACGAACGGTGGGGCCTGCCGCTACGGCCGCCGGCTGCCGGTGCATGCATGAGCTAGCTCCGGCGCCAGCTCGCTGGTGGTACTAAAGAAAAGAATTCACACCACTTGATGTTGCACTTGCACTGCAAAATACTTTTCTGCAACACGTACTTTGAATTATCATTTTCCCTTCTCCGCACCGTGCCACCGTATGGCACAGTTAGTCAGGTACTATGAAGCCGATCCTCAAAAGGTACTATGAAGCCGGATCGTGGACTTCGCCGGCTGCAGCCCGTACGCTACGCATCACTGGAATAATCGTATTTAAAAAAATGAAAGAAAAGACGATGCAAGCATCAAAAACTGCTACATCTACAGCTAGATTGCTGCGCCAGCCAAACCCAAAGCAAGCTTTGTTCGTTCCACATTTGTTGATCGTGACAAGTTAGTGCAACCCATGTTCTTTTTCATTTTGGAACAAATATTAATTACACCCATTGTGCCATCTTTTCTTTGTACAGTGTAGCAATATGTGGTCATTCGGCAGTTGTCGTTAGGGTGCGCTAGTCCTATAAAACATTAACACGACGACTTCTCGGCTGCGTACTACAATCAGTCTTGTCCTACTCCGGCAAAGAAGGATGATGACGGTGGCGTGCCTTTGTCTCGCTTCAGTACTTGTAGCCATCACTACGTGGTCTACAGATCTAGATTTAATATTTATTATTTCTGATGTTGATTGTACTGCCATGGTTGATGATAATAAATCGAAAAAAAAGGAGAAAGCAAAAGAGCGTAGCATTCACTTACGGTTAAGGATATATGCTTCATTCCTTCCACATGTGCTGGATAAATTTAGTGGAACGCGCAACTGATTAAACGCACAACCCGCGCAGGCTCCATCCGGGACTAGCTAGTGGGTAGAGCATAGGCCATGCCGTGGAAATGTCAAATGCGTTTAGAGTTGAGACGCAACTTGTCATAGCAAACTATACTTGGTAGAATAATAAAATATGCAAGGATAAAAGATGCATACATGTTGCCAGTTTTGGCACCAAAACCAATCATCAAATGTGCACTTCTTCGTAGATATGCATCAACCATATAACATTGTCATCATCTCTCCTTTCGGCCATTGAGCCACACAAGGAAAAACAACCCTTCATGGGTGGAAAAAGGCACAAAAGGTAAAACAAGATCCAACGAAGAAATTCAAGTGCCTTACACTTTTTAAAGTTAGCTCTACAAAATATTAGTACTTAATTAGCTAATTAAGTTTGCCGCCATCCTCACTCCGATGTATATGATCTATTAGTTGTATGATACACATGTATAAGTATAAAAATCGCTCCTCGATAACTAGAAAACTCATTGCATCTTCCATATGTCCTCGAGGCTCCAGAGATTGTCAGCCGAAACGCCGACGTCGGAGAAGCCCTGCACCCATCCGCTAAGCTCGTGGTCGACGTGGAAAAGGCCACCGTCCTCAGGCTGGATCTGCATATGCATGGCCCAGAACTCTTGGTCCGCTTCCTGCATCCAGTCCCCTCCGCTCGTTGTCTTCTCGCCGCTGCCATGGACATGCAGGTTCTTCTCCTCGCCGCAGAGCTCCGACGTGAAGGAACCCGACGATGCCGACCTGCTGGTGGTGACCGCGCTGGCGGCAGAGTTGTTCTCGGGATATGTGGTGGCCGTGGCGGCGGTGGTAGCCATCGACCTGACTCCTGACGCGCACGAGGTGTCGCCGATTGTGGGATCGCCGGCGGCGGCGTGGATGCGCTCGACGAGGCGAGGCATCCAGAGGTACCTCATGGCATCCTTGAAGGTGGCGCTGCCGACGTCGCAGTTGAGCTGCTTCGCGTGCTTCTGCACCCTGGTCCTCCAGTAGTTCTTGATCTCGTTGTCCGTCCGACCCGGGAGGTGCTGCGCGATCTTCGACCACCTGCAGCCATTAATCCCAAAAGTAATTAAGTACCCATGGAGGTCGACAAGGAAGAAGGCGTGCGAATCCCAAACTAGTACAGCGCCGTCAGTACCATGCACCCATCATTCGGTGACGCGGCCCAGCCGGGGAGTGGGTGAAGAGCCGGGCCGGGGATGCGCGTCCACGTCCAGGTACGTCAGGGAGTTGATCAAGCTAGTGGGCGTGACATGGACGTGTTCACACGAGTCTAATCGATCTCCCATCACCGGCCAAATCGGCCCCTCAAACTTTCCAGCTCATCGCCCGGCTAGCATGCACAGTACGTTCACGCGTGTCGCCACGCGATTTGCAGCGCGATGGTGCGAAGATTAACGGAAGGTGATTAAGGGGAAGGGCTGATTAATTACCGGTTGCCCCAGCGAGAGTGGAGGTCGAGGATGAGGAGCTGCTCGTCGGCGGTGAAGTTGCCGCGCTTCACGTCGGGGCGGAGGTAGTTCAGCCACCGCAGCCGGCAGCTCTTCCCCGTGCGCCTCAGGCCGGCGGCCCGCGCCAGCGCGTTCCAGCGGCCCTCGCCGTGGTCCGCGATGTAGTTGATCAGCGTAAGGTCCTCGTCCACCGTCCACGGCCCTCGCCGGAGCTCCGTCTCCTCCTCCGGCTCCGCCGCCATGCTGTTGCTGCTACGACTCTGCAGCACCACATCCATGGACGACGTAGCTAGTGGAGGAT